TATGGACTCTGCTCCAGCCATCTTGGTCACGCTGTTTCAGGGAAGTGATGAAGCACCACTGGAACTCCAGTGAACTGCTGGGCTGGGCTGCGTGGGAAGGGAGGAACTCTTCCCACGATGACACAATGAAATTCCACGTGGCTGGAGAACGGGCAGAGAAAGAACCCTGGCATCCGGAGGAGGCTTAGCAAACTGTTCCTTGGCCAGAACACTAGCTGAAGCTAGCATTGGGGAGAGGGTGGGTCCCCAAGACAACCCCAACCCATCCAAACCCTGAGGTACACCTAGATGACAGAGAGGTCCCTGATGCTGTACTTGGCTAGTAAGCAGCAAATGGCAGTGTGGTGGTTTGAGAGAAAATGGCCTCCATAGGCTCATGGGGAATGGTATTATATGAAAGGATTAGGAGGTGTGGCCTTGTTGGAGTAGGTGTGGCCTTGTTGGAGTAGGTGTGGCCTTGTTGGAGTAGGCGTGGCCTTGTTGGAGTAGGTGTGGCCTTGTTGGAGGAAGCGTGTCACTGGGAGTGGGCTTTTAGGTTCCAGAAGCCAGGCCCAGCCCCCCCCCCTCTCTCTCTCTCCCTGTCAATCCAGATGTAGAACTCTCATACACCATGAGAACCTCTCCAGCACCATGTCTGCCTGAGCACTGCCATGCTTCCCACCATGACAGTAATGGACTAAGCCTCTGAACCTGTAAGCCAGCCCCAATTAAATGTTTTCCTTTATAAGAGGTAACATGGTTGTGGTGTCTCTTCACAGCAACAGAAACCCTAACTAAGGCAAGCAGCAGCTTATTGCTGGAAGAGCAGGCCAGGATGACAAGGCTCCCCCATGAGGTGCACATGTTTGGTGAAGACCTGAAGTCAGGATAAGGGAGGAACACTGAGAACCCCGTCACACACATTTACCCCAAGCAAGCCAGTCCTTACCTCAAGCACTGAAGAGCCCAAGAGGCTCTACATTCACTCACCCTCCTATACCAATGGGCAGTGGGGCGAGTGTGTCCAGTGAGGGTGTGCATAGCATTTATCTCAGTCTCTACTGTCTTTTGCACACTATTTGGCATTTAATGATAAATGGCAAGATTTCTTTTTTTTTTTTTACAAGAAAGAAGAAAATAAAAAGACCTTGGACCAAGTGGTTTTATGTGTGAATTCTGTAACATCTTCAAGGGACATGAAAATGTTTGCTTAAGTCATTCAGGAAGAAGAAAATGGATATGGGCAACTAAGAGATAAGAGGAGGGGAAACAGAATCTCAATATTAAAGGGAGCTTCCTGGAATGGGACAAAGACACGTGTCATATTTACAGGTTCCCAGCCATGATGCCATTTGATATAAACTTGTGAGATTGTACCATGGTGTGAGGGTCCTGTCTTGTTCTGGAGTAGCCATGGAGGGTGGAATCCTTTTAGTTTTCCAGGGCTCTGGAGAAATCACATCTGTGGTTTATGTAGATTATGTTGGAAGTTAAGCTCTTTCTAAAACAAATTTCTCTTCTTGTTTGGTCCATAGACAGGACAAGATCCAAATGTGACCAGACTTGACAGAATCAGAAGGAATGCCCTCGTGGGTTTTCAAAAATTGCTTGAAAATAGAATCTATACTGATTAGCAAGGGGTTTGACTTGCAACCCCCAAAAGTCAGTGCTGTGGGCACACATCTCAGAGGCCCTCTCCAGGCCCAGACCTGCTTAGGGTCTCTGTCTTGGTGACCTGCTGGCCACAGTGGGAGAGCGAGTGGCCGCCTCCTTCCCATGCTAGGAATTTCTTGACTTGCTGTTTGTCCTTTGCCAATCTCAAAAACTCCCTCCATTTCAATCATCTCCCAAGTGGGGGAGGGAGTGGGAGGAGGCAGAGGAAAAGGTTTAAAAGCAAAGAAAACAAGGAGGAGGAAGTGAGCAGTGCTCAGTGAACCCTCAAGTGTGAAAGGCTAATCCAAAAACCACTTAGTAATCACCCCCATGAGGTCAGAGCAGGTGGCATCTCCTGTTACGCACATGCTGTCTCCTCCACCTCCTGCAGAGCCTTGCTTCCTGAAGCCAGGTGACCTTCTGAAATCTGCACCTCTGCCTCTGTGCTGGGGGTATCAGGCCCTTCCTCTGCCACAGCCTCCACAAGCTACCAGCTGCTTCTAAGTCACCACCAGGCTATTTTCAAGACCCTAGAGACAGAAACCTGGGTATAGAGGACTGTGCCTTCTCCCAAGGCCCTGACTGTGTGTGCTACAGAGTGTGTGGGGGTGGGTGGGGGAAGCCAATTCCCAGGGTATTCTAATGTGAACCCAGAGGCAGGACAGTCCCTGGAACTCAGCAGCACACAATGTTCAGAAGAGTGCTCATGGGTCTGTCATGCTCAAGGGAACAGTGTTGAAAGACGTTCACTTCTTCAGATATTTGGCCGGTGGTCAAATAACATGTTACTGTTGTCAGGTCCAAATGAAACGCCAATTCTCCAAACCCCCAAAGGCAGTCCAGATATCCAGAAATGAGCTCAACCCAGACCATAGGAGGGTTTCTGGCAGTTAGATAAAAGCGAGCATTCTTCTGGAACTGGCGAAGCAGGTTCCTCTCTACCCAAGGAGCCATTTCCCATATCACTGGTGGAAGGGACAAATGGCTACCTGTGGTGCCTGTTAGCATCCCTCCCGAAGTGTGTGCTGGCCTCTAGGCTCCCTCGGTATTGCAAGAACCTGTTCCACATTTCAGAGTCTCTGCTTAGCCTTATGTCCTCTACCCTAAACTCCCTCCATTCTCCTTATAACCCTGCTAACCCTGCTATTTTAGATATGCTCTCTCTCTCTCTCTCTCTCTCTCTCTCTCTCTCTCTCTCTCTCTCTCTCCCTCTCTCTCCTCCTGCTTTTCTCATGGCCAGGTCCAGTCTGCTGGCCGTGTTCAGTCTACTTCCTCTCCCTGCACTGGACTCTTCCAGATGCCTCTGGCTGTGCTCTCTCTCAACTCTACAATAAAAGCTTTCCCTTTAACCATACCGGGGAGTGGTACTGAACACACTTAACAAATTCTCAACACAAAGGAGAATTTTATTACCCTGGGTGTGTGTGGGGGGGGGGGCTGCCTCTGGATCAGTGGACTGCCTCTGGGTCAGTGGACTGCCTCTGGGTCAGGCAAAGACAGCAGCAGGTGTCTCTGCGGGAGTGGTTTTTAAGGAGGAAGAGGAGGAAGAGGGAAGCCTATGCTAGGTTAAGTTGGTAAATCCTGATTGAACATGTTAGCCAGTGTAGTCAAATAATGGATTTTGATTGCTGGACTTTGGTGTTTTGGTAGCTGGACCTTGGAGTTTTAATCAGGCATAAGGAAGTGGCCAAATAAGGGAATAGACCTTGGTGGCTAGCTTTAGGAATGTAATCTAATGGTTTAGCAAGGGAGAGGGAAGAGGGCCTTATAAAATACCCTGGGCCCAGAAACTTACATTTTCTTTTATATACATTTTATATGTAGGACCTGGTCCTTCCTTCCCCGGTGCTTTGTGGAATTCGCTTTATTTCACTGAAATTCTTGGGAAGACACCACCTCTGCTTCTCCCATCACAATACAACCAGACACTGCTCTGGAGTGGCAAGAGTCATCTCTGGGATCCAGAGAGGAAGAAACCTGTCTGGAAAAGCCTGTCTTTCATTGGTGCTGAAGGAGACAGGCAGGAAGATGCTCATTTGCTCCTGTGTTCCTGTCATTACAGGAACTGGGTCTGATCTGTCATCATTCCCAGTCCAGCTCACATTTATATAAACCAAACAAGCCTAAGTCCGTGATGGACAGTGCTATCCCTTCCCTAGCTGATCCTTAGCATCAGCTCCAGGACCCTACCACCAACCTGAACGTGGGACCTAACCTTCGGTGACAACTCAGTTGGGAACCCTGGGCTTTCTTGTGGCTCTGGGGACTGTGATAATGATAATGGCGGGGAGGAAAGGCACCACTGACTGTAACAGGGTGCTGTGTACCAGGTCCTGTGATAAACACTTAACACTCACTACTCTGGTTTCTCAAGTCCTAATGGAACTGGTTTAGTTCTCTCTTGCTACCTTAAAAAAAAAAAAGTCCCCAAAATGTAGCGACTTAAATCAATGCATATTTATAATCCCACAGCTTGTGTGACTCAGGTATGGATGATTCCTGTTTGCCAGGGTCACTTAGAGTGCTGCCTGAGTGCCTTCCCCAGAATCAACTGTGAAAGGCATTGCTCCTTACTCTATACACTTATGGACAGAGTGCGCTTCTACAGGGCTGATAAACTCAGGGCCATTAGCGAAGGGTTCATCAATGGCTGTTGACTAAGAACATGCTCCTAGTCCTTTGCCAGGTGAGTCATGCTAATAGGGCAGCCTCGTGCTTCAGAGGTAGTAATCTTCTAGCAGGATGGACGACTTTCTTCTTTCGCAACCTGGTCATGGAGACGGTTATCATCTCTGCCATTCTCTTCTCTCGAGAATCAAGTTACTAGGTCCAGCTCACACTCGAATGGAGGGGATTACTTACATAGGAGACAGGCGTCATCGGTGACCATCAGGCTAGACGGCAAAGATAACCCCAAGCACAGAAGAGGGAAGTAGTTCAAGGTGAGAGGTGAAGCTAATATATGCAGAAGGAGGAAGGGCCTGCTATTGTATTTGACCTGCAGTCTCTTCCTGTCTCTCCTACCCCTAACACAAGGGTGGACTAAGGAGGTGGTGGGCACAAGGCTGAAGGGTGTAAGCAGAAACACCGTGACACGGTACAAACAAACACTTGCCCATCGGAAAAGCAAATGACCAGCGACGATAACAGAGAAGTGTAGAAAGCATCTGGGCGAAAATGACTCAGAAGCCCTTGCGGGAAGACGGCTTTTGGCATGGATGTGCCAGGGCATCAAATAGAAAAGGTAGGCAGGAAGGCAGGAAGCAGATCTGGAGTAAGGTGTTTGCAACCACAGACTGTCAAGATGAAGAAAACAAACCTCAGGCAGAGTACATAAGGCAGCTCCGAAAAGATTTCCTTTCTTTCTTTTTTTAAGATTTATTTGTTATGCATACAGTGTTCTGCCAATGTGTATGCCTACCTGCCAGAAGAGGGCACTATGTCTTATTATAGATGGTTGTGAGTGACTATGCGGTTGCTGAGAATTGAGTTCAGGATCCCTGGAAGAGCAGCCAGTGCTCTTAACCTCTGAGCCGCCTCTGTACCCCACAGAAAGATTTCTAAGGCAATGTTACACAGGGCAAAGGTGTAGGGGAGAGGGTGGGGAACGTCGTTTGGCAGCATCATCTAAGGTAAATTCTACTTGACATATCTTAGGGGGAAGATTGCAGATTTTTCAGAGCCTTTACCCTGCCAGTGTGCTGTGTGATGCGACGTGGGGAACAGAGAGTGGAGAACGTAATAGGAGGCATTCCTGACGTGTACTTTCTTGGTACACACGGTAGCTACCACGTGCTGCGACCTTGTGGGGAATGCTCTTAGATCCAATACCTGTGGATCTTTTTTGAGAGCGGGAAGGGGGTTGGGTGAAACCTGTATAATGAACCAGGAATGATGGCCTGCGCTACAGTCATAGAGAATAAACACTCATGAGACCCTGTTAGCCAGAGGTGATGATGGGATGGCACCATCTGCACCCCAGTGATGGGAAGGATCCCAAAGCAGAGCTCAAACGGCAGTCATCACATCCTCCTCCTTCACAGCCATGCCCACGTGCCCCCACATGGCCCCTTCTCCAGTATGCCCCTTCCGTCTCCTCCTGGAATGCTCTCCTATCAACAGAAGGGTTACTCCCTGGCTTGCTCCTGGGGGAATTTCCCCGGCATCAAGATATCGGGGTGATGAAGGGCAGAGTCTCTGAGATAGCGAGACAAAGACAAAGACGCTAAGAGTCTTGGAGAACTGTCTTCTTAGTGCTGAGAGAGAAAATGAAATCAGGACAAGATTCCTTGCCAAACAGCAGAAGCAGTCGTTTATGGGGAGATGTTAACTTCTGTAGCCTTTAGAGGAGAATTCCCTACAGTGAGGGCTGAGGGACCAGTTGCCTTCATAATCAAAAGGTTTAGGACCTCTCCTCTAGTACCTGGGAGCAGCTAAGGTCCTACCCACTAACCAGCAGTCAGCTGGCTACGTGCACCCTTTCCTTCCTGGAGGACACAGTGTTATGTTTCTAGTTTTCCCCTGGAGGATATTACAGTAACTTTCAGTGGTTAATGAATAGCTTCCTGGTGCCTGCTTCACTTAATTGTTCAAAGGCCGTTTGCTCCTGTGTATAAGGCTGCGACTTGGCTAATGAGTGCCCTTCCCTGAGCAGGCCTGGAAGCAGAGGAGTGGCAGGGTCAGACGGACTCCAGAGAAGCAGAGATGCAGAACAGGACTGTTCTAATTCTCTGTGCCCTCTCCCTCCTCACAGGCTTCCTGATGATCTGCCTGGGGGGCTTCTTCATCTCCAACTCCATATTCCACTCCCAGAGGAATCTGGTTGTGTCCTACGTGCTTCTGCCTATGGGGTTTATGATCCTTCTGAGCGGAATTTTCTGGGCCACTTACTGCCAAGCAAGTGAAAACAAAGAGATGTTCAACCACGCGCTCAGACAGCACCTTGCTTCCCAGGACCCACCCCTGGCCACGGTAGACAGGTACGTGCTGAGCGCCAGAGGGCATGAGAAGGGCTGAGATGAGCCACCGTGTGGGGAGTGGAGTGATGTATAACTCCACAGTGGATCCACTTACATGAGGCTTTGCATCTAGGCCTGAAGTTCCACTATTGGACAGTTTACTCTGGGGTCACAGTGTGGAAAGAGCAAGGCTGGGAGCAGGGAAAACCGTGGGGCGAGGGGGGATTCTCTCAGGGTAAGAGCCTCACACCCCTGGTAAAAACTCACACACGGCAAATTAAGGGGCCCAACCCCTAGGTTCTTCTGATGTTTTGGGGGTGATTTTAGTAAAATGTGAGTGATGACTAGCATCAGTCTCCTGGTTCTTGTCCTAATACAAGGACGTCGTTCTTAAGGTAAAGGATGTAAGAATTTGTAAGTCCTTTTGTGCTCTTCACGCAAGAGTAGGAAGTCCATAAAATGCCTTGATTATCCCATGCACACTGAGTAAGAGTCCTCTCACCAGTGACCACGCATTGTTGCTACCCATCACACCAGTGACAACAATCAGAGCCCATTTCCAGGGTTAATTAGACTAACCAGGAAGAAGTTCCTTGGGTTTGGCCAAAAATTAAGATAGCGGGAATGATCTAGAAGGTGCTTGTAGAGTGATCATATGTGTGTGTGTGTACATATGTGATATGTTTGTGTGTGTGTCTATGAATGTATGTGTATGTGTGTGTACATATGTGGTATGTTTGTGTGTGTGTATGTCTATGAATGTGTGTGTATCTACCTCTACACTGTGAATTCATGCTAATAGTAACAGAGAGCCTTTAGGATGCATCTGAAATTTGCTAACACATTCATCTATATTCCCCCATCTGGAGTATTCAAAAGTGAATAATGCCTATCTTGACACCCCTACCTCACTGCCCCTGCCTGCTGCATCATCCTGAGATGCTCACCCCACAGAGTTAAACCAGAAATCCATGTCCCAAAGCTTTGCACTCAAAATGGGCAACCAGGCAGAGCTCTCCAAGCGAATGTTCCTCCAGTGACGGAATTCATGGCAGCAGTCCTCCTGGAGTCTCTCAAGGGGTTCCAGGGAAGAGCTTACCTTTCTGTCCCCGTGACTCAGCCCTAGCTATTCCTGGGAAAGGTCGAGATTTACATCGTACAGTAGACAGCTCCTTCAGCTATTTGGCCCTAGGCCTTGTGACATTTGGAGTGGAGCAGTGGCTACAAATGGCAGACCCTGTTCTGTTGTGGTTACTCACCATAAACACTCCCTTTGGCACTGGATAGATGACCTCTATAAATACACAATTCATGCAAACTCACCCTGGCTCGCTTCCACTCACCCCACCCTCACCTTCATTCATGGCAGAGGAGCCAGGGTGAGCAATTACAAGATGATGAAAAAGTCCATCAACTGGAGTGAATGACCTTAACCATGGGCAGGCCAGCATAGCAACGCTGCAGCTGAATACCTCACAAAGCCATCAGCTGGTGCCTGGTGGGACCTGAGCCTGTTTCCTATATTTTCTCTGGAACCAGCTGCCTAGGACTTGACAATGTGTCAGGAGAGAGCGGTGGCATCCCTTAGGTCAGGAACCTGCATGGAATTGGTTTCCATTCATTATTTTGTTGCTTGTGAAGCTCTGAGGCCTTGAGAGCAATGGAGTGGAAGATGATGTGTGTACGAGGATTGAGTACTGGCTAAAGAGAGGTTCATGGTCAAAGTCTCTATGTCACCTAGGGCTGATAAGGACAGTGCACTGAAAGGCTGTTTTCTGGACCGAAAGAGCAAACAAGGGTGACTAGCTGGGAATACCTGTCTGGAACAGGCGGGCAGCTCCGGCTGGAAGGGGATTGAGTCTACAAGAAGGGTGTGCAGTTTTTAGAAACTGGTGATGTCAGAAAAGTACATCTGTTTCAAACTCAGTGTTTCTTAGCAGTTTAGCTTCACACAATGTGAGCTGAGAGAGGCAGACATATGCTTCTTCACCACCAAGACCTAAATAACACATGCATCTTTGTGGCATTTCATCTCACAGGCCCGACTTTTACCCCCCGACTTATGAAGAAAGCCTGGATGCTGAGAAACAGGCCTGTGCTGCAGGTGGAGGGCTTCTGGGATTCCCTCCTCCTCTATATACAGCGACAAGCCTTGAACTTGAAGAGGAAAATGACCCGCAACCAGAGCCCCCGCCCCCCTACCAGGAGAGCACAGCAGATGCAGTGGTCACAGCAGAGGCACAGGATGCCGATGCCGGGGACCAAGCCCAGCACTGAAGGCAGGACCTGCTCTCCTGTACTCAGAACTCACCAGCTGCTGAGGAGACAGGCTGGCCAGGAACTGGGAAGCTTCTCTGCCACTCTGCACTGGAGCAAGGCCACCATGGGTTCAAGGGCAGCATGGGGCCGTTGAAGTTCATAGCTACCAGCAGGAAGTTGGTGCAGAGAAATCCCATGAAGCCCAGCCCAAGTGAACCTTAGACTGAAGAGAAGGTATATGGCCAGGCCTTCCACCTCCCTGCTAACCCCATGACCTCAACTCAAGCCTGGAGGTGCACTCACTGTTGGTGGGACTGCCACAGCCCTTCACATACTATGTCCGAAGAATCTCAAAGGGAAGACTGCCTGGGAGGCAGCCTTGGAGTCACCCCACTGACCACGCTACCTGAGTGACACCATAGCTCATACACATCATGGGAAGTGCCCTAGGAACCTAGGAACACTATTTTGTATCATTTGATTTTAATTATATATATTTTTTCTGTATGAAAGGGAAGAGACTGCAATGTTTGCTTTTAAATGGTACAAACACAAAACACTGAGTTACCTCTTCAAGAGGTCCTGATACAGGCACTTAGGGGTTCTTACCAATTCAAGTTGACTAGATAGAATACTCAATTCTTGATCCAGGGAGTCAAGAGTGATGCTAATATACAACGTATTACAGATCTTGTGAAATTTAAAAATGTTTATATGCAGTTTTCCAGGATGCTCCCCCCCAACTCAAAATCAGAATGTAAGAGATCAAAAACTGTAAGGTCATGTTTCCATTACCGGGATATTTTTTTATGTCTCAAGATAGAGAACTAGACTTCTAGATGTCTAGAAGTCTAGTTCTAGACTTAAAAACCCAATCGTCCCTCCTTGGTTTTATTTTCTTGGCGGGGTTTCTTAAAATCGGAGAACAGGTTGTGGGGAGGATAGTAGCAGGCCACACAGGCTGAGACTTTGAACGTGGATGAGGGTATCCATCTCCCCGCCTCAAGTTCTCTCTCTCCCAAGTGAGGCATCTATGCTCAGGTTGATATCTAACAGTTATGGCATGCCTTTCATGTGGTGGGTTCAACTAGTCCTCCTTGTGTGTTATTTAGCCCCCTACCCCATCTTTAAGAGGTAGGTGCTATGAGCATTCCTGTTTTAGGGATGTGTCAACTGAGGTTTCGAGGATTCAGGAAATGTGTTCAATAAAACAGCGGCCTCAAGGAAGGTGAGGAATCTAAAGGCACATGATGGGAGTCACTCACCTCACACTTTTGAGTTAGGCTGGTTATGTCTTTCCTCTTTCCCAGACACAGCTTAGATTTCTCGTTCCATGTCAAAAGTGACCCCTAACAGAAAGTAGTGTCCCAGGTCACTGCCACACCGTCCACGCTTGAAGAAGCAGCTGAGGTGGCTTTAGGATTATTGGGCTTTTCAGTTAAAATATGCCAGCCTGTTTCCTGTCTGTGAAATGGGCCCTCATAGTGCAGTTTTCCTGAATCCTACAGAGGGTAGCCACGATGATGGTCACAGGAGAAGAGCCTTTGAAAACTCACAGGGAAGGATGAAATCTTTCAAGAAGAGAGTCATCAAAGTGGGACCGGGTATCCTGGTCTCTGCTTCTCCATTGGTGTGGAGTACACAGTTTGCGAATGGACTGATAAATGCTTAAGATGCCAAATGAACAAAACCCTAGTCCATGAATCTCTGCTTTGAATCCTGGACAATGAGGGAATGACTAGATAGGAAGGCCACTGATGATGGTTTAGCAGGATGGTGACCATTTACTAACAATGAAATTTGTCATTTCTTTCCGGTCATCTCTTTTCATCCCTCTGCCAAGCAGTTTCCCCCACTGGTCTGAATGACCTGCATTATTGGACTTCTACCCAGATCTGCATACTGGGGGACAGATGAACCAAATGTTTAATTTGGTTTGCATACGTTGTATTAGTCTCCTTAAGGCAATAAATTTTGTACTCAGAGTCTTTTTGAAATTTATTTTGTGGGTGTGTGTTGTGCATGCATGTGCATGTGCATGTGCATGTATGTGTACACACATGGAGTAGTTGGGGGCTGTTGTTTCAGGTAAGCTGGCTGGTAAGTGAATTTGCAGGGATCTTTCTAGGTTCCTGGCATGAGTGAGGATTTAAGCTAGTTCCTCATGCTTTCACAGCAAGCATGCTAACCCCTGAGTCACCTCTCCATTACCTCAGACTTTTCTTCCTTCCTTCTTTTTTTTTCTTCACTTTTTGTATCAGAAAAAAAAAAAAGCAGTAGAGGATCCTAAGTCATGGTAGCATTCTCCACAGTATCAAGATGAGTTAATATTTCTGCAAACCCAAATGTGATTGACAACAGATGTTGCTTCAGAAAACAACCTGGTGCTTCCTTTTTAAAAAGAACACTGAAGCTGGGCATGGCGGCACACACTTGTAAGCCAAGCACATGTGAGGCAGAAGCTGGGGAATCAGGAGTTCAAAGTCAGCCTTGGAAGGAAGGAAGGAAGGAAGGGAGGGAGGAAGGAAGGAAGGAAGGAAGGAAGGAAGGAAGGAAGGAAGGAAGGAAGGAAGGAAGGAAGGAAAGAAATAAAGGAAGAGAGGGAGGAAGGGAGAGAAAAAAGAAAAAGAAAGAAAAAACAAATTAGCACTAAAACATACTCCTTTCCATGTTTCTAATACACATGTACTCTGATTTATGAATCGAGAACCTGGGTATCATGCAAGGCAATATTGCATTTTCGAGTCTCAGCAGCTAAAATCCACTGGGCAAGTCAAACAAGTGTATCCTGCTATAGTGAATGATATATTATTATCCCCTACAGGATGCACTCAGGGAAAGTAGCTTTTTTTCTCAGGTGTGTGATCAAATGAAATGATGCTGGGTTGGGAGCCGTGGTTCCATGGATACTGCGGAGGACATTTGGACAATGAGACAATGGAGAGAGGAAAGTCTCTATGGCAGAGGATCTTCACTCATTCTTCTTCACCACTAGGGTGAATAATAGTGCCCCGGGCCCCCAATTTATAGTTTCATGTTGTTCCCTTGATGAACAAGTTTAAATAATCACCATCAGCACCTAGAAGATCCGGACGGCAAGGCCAGTATACAGTACATGATGCGGGATCTTCACATATCTGAGAGGTGCTGGTTCTCTCTTAACGCCTATCCATGCAAAAACTCCCTGGTGTTTCTTACTGACACATCTGTTTGTCTCTCAAGATTTCTCCTTAGTATACTGTTTTGGGTGAAGCGTCATTCAAGCTCACCTACATGGCACAGCACATGCTAAGTGCTGAAAGAAATGGAAAGAGGAGAGACTCACGGATTTGTTATTCCACCCCGCTCTCTAAAGTTCCATGACAACCCAGGGGACTCACAGCAGTGAGCTGCCAATTGCATGGGCTATTTCTGCGAGAAAGTCCCCAGCTGGTTGAAGTTGAGCAGGCATTCTGCTAATCTCTGTTGCCTCAGATAATCTCTTGCCGTCTGTAACTGTTGATCCAAACACTGACTTACCAGTCGTGGGCATGGCGTCATCTTACTGTCATTATTAGTTCCCACAAAGGCTTTCTCATCCTTTACAGAGCCGTAGCTCATGGATCTGGCCACCAAAAACCTCAAGTCATGAGAGTATCATGTCTTTGTTTGTGTGCCACGATTTAGTGTGGCCAAATCTAGTGCAGGGCCCCACCAATGATGGCTAGCAATCTAAGGGCTTCTTATGTGAAAGCATTCATGACCTGCAAATATGACGGATGCATTCTGCAACCTGGAACAGAAGGATCTGATAAATGTTCTCTCTTTAAAGAAGGCTACCCTTCTGTGTATGTGTATGTGCTTGTGTGCACATACATGTAGAAGTCAGAGGTCAATGCTGGGTGCTCCCCACTTTAGTCTTTTGAGACAGTTTATCACTTAAACCCATCTTCCTAGCCCCCTTCCATTTTTTAAAAGGGTGATGAAGAAGTTCAAGAATCCTGGGTGAAACAAAGCAACCTTTTGTTTCGGCCGACACCTAGTAGGCAGGGTATTTAACACCCTGGTTCCCCCTACAAATACCTCCCTGACACATATGCACATGCATTTCCAAATCCCCTAGATGAATTGGGCACTGCTTTAGTTAAGAACCACTATATATATGTGGTGGCTTGCCACCTTCCAGAGATATCTGTTGTAGCTAAGGAACCCCCGAGTGCTAGAAGATCACCAGAGTGGCCCTAATAGTGACCTCACTATAAAATAGCCTTTTCTGTGATTCATTGTGGTGGTTCACATGGAATTCTTGTATATCTCATGTCACTCACTCTTATTTTTTAAAAAATATTATCTGGAGGGGGGTGCAGTTCACATGCCAGGACACATATGGGGGTCCGCAGACAATTGTATGGAGTCACGTCTCTCTTCCTACCTTTCTGTAGATACTAGGGATTCAACTCAAGCCATTCAGTAGGCTTGCCCAGTAAGCACCTTTGCCTACCCCCAGCCGTCTCACTGACCCTTAGGTCGTTTGCTCTTAAAGGCTATTTGTTGGCTCTCCATCTTGAACAAGAGGAGCATCATATAGGGAAGAGTGGTTTGCGGGCTTTCATCCCTCATCAGAGTAACACAAGAGTTTATACATGCAATCTTGGGTTCAGGCAGAAATAATACCTCAGCAATGTAAACTTGAGAGGGCTCAGAGACAGGCTGTGTCCTAGAATCACTGAGAGACCTGCTCTTTGCTAACACAGCCCAGAGAAAATGATGGCCATGCAGATCTGCTTCCCATGATGTTATGTCCTATGTCTGCCTGAATGCCAACCATCACACCAACCTCTGGCCCCCAAGGTCAGCCTCTTCTGTAAGTCCTAGCTAACAATGACTATCCTGCCTTGCTGCTTCCATTCACCTCTGGTAAATTATACAAACGCTAATGAATCCCAAGAAACCCTATTCTTTAGGAAGCCTCCTGTTCCCAGTGTCCCACCATTTCTGAGTCAATCACTCTCTGTGTGTTCCCAAGGCTCATGCTTGCACTTCTGCTGTGATATGTATGCCTCCCCAACTACTTGTTTGTCACAGCCAGCTCTTTCCAAACTGTAAGTTCCCAAAAGTGGGATAATTCTTCCGGTCTTCCTGTTACATCTAAAAGAGGAATGTGCCTGGAGTAGCTACTCACCCAGGTTTTGCTGAATGGGTGAATGGATGAATGAATGAATGAATGAATGAATGAATGAATGAATGAATGAATTGATGGGTAACTATAAACTGGGCTACTACACACACATAAACAAAGGGAAACAATCTTCAAGTAGAAGAACTTGAACTTAAAAGTTAGAGATGATTTAAGTTCAGGAACTGGAGGCAAAACTATTTGCTTCTCCGGTTAGAGTTGATGTGCCAAAGGATTTGTCAGAGTGCCCTGAAAACATCCACAGTGAATGAATGGGTGGGTGTTATCAGGGACCTTTACTCCAGAGATAATAAGAGTGAAAGCTACAAGGCAAAAGTTTTCCATTCGTGAGGTATCATATATATATTACAATCTCAGCTCAAAGCCACCTTCCTATAATTCTGAAATAAAGACTGTTATGGTGAAAGACTAGATGCCATTTTAATTTTTTATGATTCCCCAAACCAATTTTGAGCAATTCATTTCTTTTTCTGTCCTATTTTTAAAATCCCCCCCCCGCTCCCCCCCATCGAGTCATTAGAATGAACCACGGTCTTTGCCATTGTTCTGAAAGGCTGATTTACCAGCACACGTGCCCGCTATCAGAGCTGCCAAGTGACAAGAGACACAGGAGCTGAAGCCTACAGTCTTGTGTGGAGGGTGAAATAAGGAAGTTCCGTTTTATTGGCTAGCAAGTTTCTGACAGATGCACAGAGAGAAAATGGAAACAAACCCCTTTCTGGGAAGGTTTCCTTGTGGCACTGACCTTGACGGCAGCAGCCTCGCCTTGCTTTGGCAGCAACTGCCAAAGGGCACTAGGTCAGCTTCACCAATGACGCGATAAGTGAACCTGCAGTTCCCAAGGAAGCCAAACACAAGCAAACACATCCTGTGCCCGACGACGGAGGACTCTGCCCCAGTCCACGTGCGGCCGGAGCTGCCAGGTCCCTTTTCCTTCCAGGCAAAGAAAGCCAGTTGTGACAACCCACCTCTCGGTCTCGTAGGGCCCAGGACTCTCCCACTAATTATTTCAGGCCCTTCTGGTCTCCTTTATCCAGCCACTGTGAACGAGATCAGAAGCCACGGTGGTATTCTCCCTGGGAGGATTTATACAAACTTATGTATGGACGTCTGTGACATAATCAAGAAAGCTTCCCCCTCATTTTTCAGTCTTTTCCAGAAAATCCTCCCCCACCTGCACAGGAAATGGCTACATTCAGAACGTTCAGAAGGGTGCAGCCGGCTTGGTAGCTAAATTAATACTATATGCAAAACAAGAGAGGAAAACACCCTTTTATATGTCTTGTTGGATGTGTGCCATTGTGGTTTACAGAAAACTCCAGAAGATGTGAGAGAGGCAGTGTAGACATGGTGGGAGGCTAGGGAAAATGGACCGTTGGGTGGTTGGTGGGAGAGGGGTGCGTCCTAGAAGTTCTAAACCTTTCTGTTGTAAATCTGATGAGGGGTGCAAAGTTGAGACCACCTTCATGTTGGTGAGGTCTTCTGCCTGCCCAAAGCCCTTAGAATATAGAGTCAGTCCAATTCTGGATCTCTCTCTCACACAAGACACCAGAAATACACAGGGGCTCTGATTAATAGTTTTCCTAGCACACCCATCTTTCTCCAAAGGGGAAGCTTGTTGGTGTGATGAAATATAGATATTAAACAACAGTGAAGCATTGACAGATAGCTAAAAAACCCTGCTGCATTTGGAGGGACTGAACAAATCCAAACAAAAGGGGTGCTTACCCCACTTCCCACCCTCACTTCATCTTTTACCCGACCCCCCCCCCCAACAGCAAAATAGCTTTTGTTTTTCCAAAGTCCTAAGAGGCACAAACAGGAAGCAAGAAGGCCCAGTGAAGCGTCGTCTGTCTTGGTGCTCTTCTGTCCTGTGCTCAGGTGATGACGGTGGGGCCCCTCCGGCCAGTTCTCTCGTGAATCTGGGATATTTTCAGTGCTATGGCTATGAGAGGGCTCAGCACCGCCTGGAAAAGAAAGAGAGAGAATCATCAGTTCGAAATCAGCCACAGTCCAGGCTTTGGGATGGATTTCCACCTCAGAGGTGCCGACTTAGATTGCATTTTAGAGCCTACAGGCAGTGACTGGAATGGACAGGACACAGAAGCAGGGTAGAAAATTGCTCTGTGAGGTTTTACTTCACCCCAGAGAAATTAATTCATGATAGGAACAAGTATAAGCCTATGCTAAACAAGACTGTGAATTTCGGGAAGGCTGGAAACTTCCATTCTTTCTCTGATACACTAATCCCTTCCAAGTTAGAGCCATGTCAAATACCTCCCCACATTCAGCGTGAGGGCAAAGCTCATCCCGAGGCCATAGGCCTAAAGAAGCCACCATTCTGACATTTCAGAGAAGATGGCCACACTAACGCTATAGAACTAGCCGACCCACTCCTACCCTATACCATCCTGGCTACTGAACTTCTTCCGTGTTCCCAGGGAGGTGGGGGTGGTTAGCGAGCTTTGGAACACAGTTCAACAAAGGACTAGGAATCACTTCTTGAACTTCAATTGCTTGTCCAGTTTCTGAAGAGTGGACCACATGCCCAAGCATACTCCTAAGACATGAATTATAAAACAGTGGGGGAATTGGTCTGTCTGCATTCCTCAATCCAGATGCTGCCCCAAACCAGAAAGGCTGTTTTCTGCTGATCTGCAGCCCTTTAAAGAAAACAATTCTTGCTGAAGAATGACTTCACCTGAAGACATTCACGTGCATGTTTTTACTAAATTTATGTGTACAGTGCACTCATATTTATCAAGCAATATTGCTCTTCCATGTGGAGGACTAATGTAAACTTATATGTAAGTATAAGTATAAAATGAGTCCATTTAAAGACAAAATCCCAAACAAAGGCATTGATAGAGAAGTATTGGGCAGCAGTGGAGTAAAGGAATAAGTAAAGATTCCATAATTCTGGAAAGTAAAGCCTGGGCTGAGGGAGGGAGCATTCTGTTCCTGGCAATCCAATCTGTTCCTAATGGATGAAAGCGTGAGGCATGCTCAAGTGTTGCAGCCCGACAGAAGAGCACGCACAGGGCACAGAGAGCACAAGCATCCTGGTATGTCTTGAGTACAGGGAGAATCCTAAACGATAGGAAAGCCAGTCTGAGGTGAGGGGACCCAAGTGCCAGGGTGGGATGCACTGATTTAATTCACTATGCAATGGGAGATGCTGCCATCCTTGGAGCCAAAGGCTATCATAATCAGAGCAGTGGAGATAGTGGTCTAGGGGCATGTTTGGAGAGGCATTACTCCAGGGGCAACTTCATGTAGTTAAATTGCACAACCTCAGTAATGAACAGCCACAAAATAATTTCACTTCATTCAAGTAATTATATTGAAATTTCTTCAATACAATACCCAAATAAACAGTAAGATGTCAACACACATATAGAGGAGTTTTTCTTTTAAAAAATAAAATTTAGTATTTTAGAGACAATAGAGAATGATGTTTAGTTTATCTGTCAAATTAGATATGCATGAGATACTGTAACATATTAGTGAGAAACAAAAAAAAATATAAAAGAATTCTAAGCTTGCTTCACTATCACACTTAGGTTCCAATGGCATTAACTAAATAAGGATGAAAACTGGCCATTATACAGGATGAAACAGAACCACAATTCTCAACGATGTACTCATATTCAAAGAAAAAATGTCTGATCCAAAACTGAATGACTGGGAAATGATCAATATGTGATTGGAAAGACACAGTGATCAAGATATGTATGCATCTAGTAACTTCTCTGAAGTCTGTTTTAAAGACTCAAACTTGTCCCTTGTTTTGATTACATCAGGCATGAGGCCATCAGTGACAATTAGGCCAGCTCACGGAAGTCAGATCAGGGTGCCCCTTTACCCTTCATCCAGTAACTGGGCAGCCCTTACTCAAAGCACTTGGAGTCATGTTTCTGACTTTTCTCTTTTCTATGTGTTTGGAAATATATGCATAAATAATGAAATATCTTGGGGTGGAACTCAAGTCTAAAGACAAAATTCATTTTTATCTCTCATACATGTTCTTTTACACATAACCCCAGGTCATTTTATACAATATTCTTAATATATCTTCATTTTGACTGTGACCATATCACATGAGTCAAGGCCTAGAATTTTCCAGTTCTAACACATCGGGCCTAACAGTGTCAAAATTGGGAGCACTTTAGGCCTTGAAATTTGGGGTTTGGTGTGCTACACCTCTCCACGCTCTCCATTAGGGCAGCTAGAGCACTTTTTGTTGAGTCTTTTTTCCTTCCCGACCCACTGGCAGTCATCAAATCCTTTGGCCTTATTCCCACAGTGGCTCCTCACGCATATTCTCCTCTCCCCTTGATTTTCCCTAACACGGTTTCCTAGCATCCTTGGCTCATAGGTGACAGTCGGCCGCTTCCAACCCTGCCACACCGAGCTTCTTTCTGGAAGTGATCTTCTGACATCCAAGTCTCAGGAGGCTTCTCAAGCTCTGTGGCCAGCCACTCTCACTCAGTATGGCTGCTGGGTTCCTGATGTGCTGATAATCCTTCGTACCTCTTCCCACTGCATGCCACATGATCTACCTTTATTTTAATGTACCTAAAACTAATCAAAGTAGACAAGGAAAAAAGGCCTACAGAGAAGTCAGAATGCAGAGCTCAACTCTGAGAGAATTTATCTTCTCCAAATGACAAAACAGGCCTCAATAAAAATACTTCTGAGGGGAAAGAAATCCCTCTCCAGATTGAAGCAGAGGAAATATTCCCAAAGAGATTCATCAAAGCAAAACCAAGCCAGTGTCTGAGAGTTCAATGTGCCACCCACAAAAGCCACACAGGCAGGTGAGATCAGCCTTCTTCTCTGCCCACCCTTCCCACTTTTATCATTGATTGGGGCCATTTGCTAAGAGGTGGCATTTATATTCACACAACCTAACACATGTACGAGAATCGTGAAGACAACTGTCCCACTTATTCAGTTGTGAGCTCTGTCTGGCTCCACACATGGAGGCCTCTGGAGAACACAGGGTGGGGAGGAAGTAAATAGTAAATCTCTGTGGATTCTGCTAGTGGCTGGAAAACACTGGGCGTCCACCCTTGGAATCCTCCCGTGTAGATACAAACCAGCCCGCAAAAGTTCCCATCTTAAGCCTCACAGTAGTCCTCTGCTCACAACTTCCCCCTTTCCTCTCTTCTTGGCCTGTACCCACCTCATTTTCCATGCTGCCAAGAGCATGGCAAAGGGATGGGGAACTGCCAGCTGGTTTAGGTCCCTGCATGCCCTCCCAAAGGTCCCCACTATGTCCTCATGTTTCTATTCACTGGGCATGTCCACAGCACACTTCAAATTTTTCCTTTGTGCAGAATACACTTGCTAGTTTAATGGAAGATGGCCTCCTACCCCTCACAAAAATTTGTAGCAGAAATAGATCTAAGAGACTGTGAAACCAGAACTTTTAAAAAAGGGACTGTAGTCTATAGAGTCTGTCACTTTGGGTCTTCTCTTTCTCTCCGCTCTAAGGCTGCAGAAGCTGAGACTAAGGTGACTCTGTTGTTTATAGCAGCCTGAGTTCCTGTGGTTGCAACACTGGTATGCTTCAGTTTGGTGCTCTGCTTACAGATGTTCCTTGGGAACAAAGTCGAAGCCCCCACAGGTCTACCTGAGGTTTGCCAGCAGCCTGCTACCCAAGGAACAGCCAAGAATCACCCAAGGATACTGCTGTGGGTCCTAGTCAGAAAGACGGAGTACTTGTGTTCCTATGAATCCTGGAGTGTGTAGCTATGACAAGCTTCCAGAATGATCCCAGCGCATACTCAGGTCTGGGACCCTGTCTTGCAGCATTGTGTTTCTTATCTTAGGACAGGCAGAACAAGACAGTGCTGAAATGACTCTGGATCAACTTGCTCTATCCCTTATGAGCTGTGCGATCTGAGTAAGTCACTTAACCTCACTGGACATCAGTTTTCATTTCATTTCACAGAGGTGAGAGACTAGGCAAGCCAGTGAGTAGGAAACAGGACAGTCCCAGGCACGCAGGGCAGACACATAAGTGATCATGATTAAAAACTGGGAAAGGAACTGCAGCATGCCAACTGGCGGTCACATGGCTGCCTGGTACAATCTGTGATCTTTTACCATAAAATCAGCTCACACTTCCTCAAATGTCAAAGGAATGCCTCTGGTGTGCACCCCAGTTCAAAACAGTAACTTTCTTTGGTCAGGTCTTACTGCACGTTTTTCTCTTGTGAGTTATCAGCCTGCCATTTGGACCTCTGACCCCAGAGATTGCCAAGAGGACCGTGACTTGCATTTACCATGGCTCTTTCTGAGAAGCCGGCCCCTGCTGTGATATGGTGGGTGTGTCAGGAGTGTGGTGTGTACACGAACTGTGCACTTCCCGAATATAGCTTCACAGTAAACATGTCCTTGAAAGCTGCTGGCCAGAAATACCCCCCCTGGCTGGGCTTTAGGGCTGCACAACCCATGCTATGGTTTAGATATGGTTTGGGTTTGCCCTGCCCCCAGGAGTCGTGTATTAAAAGCTTAACCTTGGGTGGTAATACTGGGAGATGGTGGGCACCTCTAAAACTGTGAGCCAAAATAAAGCATGAATTCTTACAGGAAAATTATCTGGGAAATTTCATCATGATGATGCAAAGTTGACTAATACACTAAATAAAGGGTACAAAGAGTCTTTATGTGGCTACAGAATCATTGGCACTTCTCACACTAAACCATGGGTTTGGAGCTGGAGAGATGGCTTAGCAGTTAAGGGCCTTGCTGCCCTTGCAAAGGACTGGAGTTTGTTCCTAGCACCCATATGGTGGTTTACAACCATCCTTAACTCCAGTTCCTGGGCATTTAATGGCCTCTTCTGACTTCCATAGGCACCAAGCATTCAAGGCTGCACATCCATACATACAGGAAAAACACTCATACACATAAAATAAAAAATAAAGTGGCAGATTTTCTTCACCTAGCCTTGAAA